CTTTCATTCGAATAAAAAATAGTGTTCAATTTACACACGAGAAAAGCAAGCGAGCGAACGCAATGCAAAAGACTAAACGGTTTTTAAATTGATGGAGGACTAACATTTTAAAGGACAAAATATCAAAATTGGATGAGCAAAATCGACCATAAACCTGGAAAAAGGTCATGCTGCAGATTTCCGCATCCTTTTGGCATAACTGATGATGAAAACCCTAAAAGTGGATGATTATTGGTGAAAGAGCTTGTTGAGGTTTCAACCGGCAGAAAACACACCAACGCTTCCAGCAAAAGCAACAGTTATTTAGCATTAATATCAAACATAAGTACGAGAAACCGACGCAAAAGTAAAGTCAAATACCAGAAGCAAAGGGAACTTTTTTTAGCGCTAATTTGAAAAGCGAACCTAAAAAATACCGGAGGAATCCCAAAGAGGCCATCAGAAATTAACGCAAATAAGTAACAAAGTAAAATTTCAAATTTAAATAAATATCTCATAACCGCTTGAAGTTGGAGATTGTAGGGAAATAACTGCAGAATTTTTTTCGCTGTTTATCTGGGGCCTCAAATTAATTTATTGCAGCGTCAGGTCATTTTATCATAAACTGAAAAAGCAGTAGATGCTAAAGTAAAGAACCCCAATAAAGGCTTCCGAGAAGCCTTCACACAAGAGCGCTAATTTCAACATTTTATCAAACTGGGTACAGTTTAAAGATGCTGAAGGATTTTGAACATTTTAACAATTTTCTTCACTTCACAAGTTCCACATTGAAACAGCTCCTTCGGGCACGACGCTGGTAGGGGCCGAAGAAAACACTTGCCCGCTTGAATAGCAATGTTGTTTTCCTATCAGTGATGTGCTCGAAGAGTCTCTCTAGACTCAGTCCTGACTGTGCAATAAAATGACCCAAATCCTCCCAAAATCTCTGATTCAAAGCCGCTTTAGCTACCAAAAAACAGCGTATTAACATGTACCGTTGGTTGATTATAAAAAAAAATAAATCACAAAATTGGCTCATCTCGTTTAGATGCCAACAAACACGATTCATCACCTTAATCCGTATTAATTACAAATGATTTACACGCAACCATGAATATTCGCCTACAAAAGCGATATTTCATTACAAAATGCTCGGCTCTAATCTGCCTTATTAATTCAGAGTTAATTCATTTTTTTGCGACCGATATGCGGACTTTGAGGAAAAAAGCCGCCGACCACATTATGTGTCCGTTATTGTTAGACTAATTACGATTTTCCACGCTATACGAACTTGAAAGTTTAATGCTGTTGCATACCTGTGGGCTTTTTTCATTTTTGCGGGAAATTTTAATTTTTGACCGAAATTTTCGTGAGAGCTGGATTTTTGCGAAAAGCATAAAATCGCTCAAAACGTCTCGAAATTTACTTAATTTTCATCGCCAGAGAGCGAGGAATGCAAACTAGAAACTTTAAATTTTAAATTATTGATAGTTTTTGCCCATTTTAGGCGGGTTTTGTTCGGTCACAATTTTTTACCTACGATATCTGCCTT